GAGTAAATAATACTTTGCACCCCTGCACTCACATTGAATCCCACATTTGGTCCTTCATTTTAATCTGGTAACAATCAAACTCCCTTGCCGCTTGGCTTAGGTTGCAATTGGGCTCTATTGTCATTTGGCTGCTAAATTGGCCACAAAAATTATCATGTATGACCTAACGTATTTTCTCTTTCTACGGACAAAAAAAAATGGAGGAAGGGTGGGTTGGCCATTAGTAGGTGGGAAGGAGTGCAGTAGCTTTGCCAGTAGGGGGAAAAAAAAGGGGGTTGCAGTGGTTATTGGGTGGTGCGGAATGGGCTTGGAGGCTGGCAGGGCAATGAGTGCGTGGGAATAAATGGGGCCTGGCTGGAAAAGGGGCAGCGTCAGTGGTGGTGGGTTTTAGAAAACATACAGTAGAGGAGATGGAAGTACAATGGAGAAATAGAGAATGCTTAAAAAAAAAGCTACATTTTCGCCCCAAAAATTTCTCAGGTCACATGATTTCGCTATGTTGAATTTAACACCATTACTAACAAACACTGGCACATATGCAACTTTTGATCAAAAGTGCAAGAGTCGATTGTTGTGTTTACAATGAAAATAATAGACCAAAGCGAGATTTGAATAAAAAGTGCAAAGTGCAAAGTGCTAATAATTGAGAAAGTATTACTTTAAGATGAACATGCAAGAATACCTTGAGAAGTATAAATCTAAACAACAATGCAGTCCAAGATCAACAAATGTAGTGTTAAAAGCCTTCGAGCCCACTAGCATGATTTGCCTCTGTAGTTAGAAGGGCCATTTCAAGCCTTACTTCAAGAAAACAACATCTCAAGATGTCGTTAACAAAGACAAGCCATGTTCCATGCCATTTCTTTGCCAGCAGTGCATTCCAATGCCTGTCTCGATAAAAACAATAGCTCATCAAAAGACAACAGCAAATCATAAGACCAGCAGCACGTGATAGATAAAGAGTTGATCCAATATCACGTATTAGCAACATTAGTAGACATACACATAAGAGTTGGTTCCTAGTAGCTTTTCGAATGCTAGTTATTGCAGCAATCACCACTGAATATAATGTATTTAAGATGCATGCTGGTAACTGGCAGTTCTATTGACAATTTGTGCAATTTTAGGATGACTTTTCCCATGATCTAGTACCTCCGAATAAATATTTTGGAGCAATTGAGCATTCAATATAGTAAAACCAACTGTACCACAAATCTGGGTTCAAAATTACACAAAATTAACTTAAATAGCGACCACTTTTTTTCATCATGGTTTTTAGCGCATAATACCCATAACTGTTGGACATGAAACTAAGACATTCAACGGAGGTCAAGAAAGTTAGTTCTCCTGTTAATCTCTTGTCCTTCCCATGAGGATAATAATAACTAAACTAATCTTTGTTGATTCAATTATTTACACATTTCCTAATAAGAATTTATTTTTCCCTGGCCAAGGAATAATAATAACTCTTAAAAGTTAAACACATTTTTCTTTGAAGTTTCCAACATTTTCTAATATCTCAAGGCATGTTATGCTATTTTCCGTAGGCTTTCCAAAAATGTTTTCTGTTGTTCAATGGAACATAACTCATAGTCAAGAAAACTATTGCAGACCCATGTCATCTACTAAACTGCCAATTTTCCAATTCCATTGCACAGAAACCGCAAGGAACTAGCTAAATTTACTTAAAACAGTTGCCCAACATATTCTTAACATACAAATTTATTGATTTCAACCAATTCACTGAAACAAATAGCAGCATTTGATCTTTATTTGCCAGCTTGCCTTCCCCCATATCCATTCAAACCTTGGAAAGACAGATTTACGTGAGTCGCACAAGGGTTGTCAGCAACATGGCCTAATTTGTTTAGCGAACACATCATTTATCAGATGCGTTGCTCAGACTTTAGTGAAATTTGGCGTCATCTAAGGAAACACAGAAATGACAAAAAGTTATAATCTCAATACAAATTTTTTACCACATTCCCAGCAACACTTTTATATATTTTATACAACTATCTTACACATTTCCAACATTGAGAAAGGCTACCATGTGCCACCGTTTTGTATGATATAACTTTTACCACAAAAACATAACTTTGGTCGCTCATAAGTGCCATAAACTTCATCATTCATAACAATCAACCACAAAAATTTTCTTAACTTTCTCGATGAAATTGTAACAATTGCAAATTTTCTTACAATGACAGCCCTTTCCTTGTGAGCGTATGTTTATAGTACTTTAGCACCCAAACATCTAACCAAAAACCCAATAAAAGTAACAATTTCACACCATTCCAAACACTACCTATTCCTTTACGGGAATGAAAAATTCACACACACACACACAACATTTACCAGAGAGAGAGAGAGAGAGAGAGAGAGAGAGGCTTTAAAGCACGAACCTGAAGTGAGCACCAAGCAAGATTGAGAACGCTAACGAGCCAAAGAACACCGTAATACGAATTCATTATATACGACCGACCATGCGAAAGCTTCGCAAAGCTCTTCTTGGCGTGAGACGCCAAGTACACGACGAACAAAGCCGAAAACAGAATCAAAGCAAGGTTGTGCCAAAATCCATGGCAATCGAACAACCACCCGTACAGTCTGGGGCCGTAACCACCTCCTTCTGCTGCTTCTTCTGGGGTTGAATTCGAGATCGGGGAAGGAAGTGGAACCCCTGGAACGAACTCGAGAGCCCTCATAGTTGCTTCAATCGCAAGCTCGAATGCGAAGAAAGTAGAAACCCTAGAAATAAGAGTGCAATCAAGTAGAAACCCTAGTATGTGGACATTTATGTATAGAAAGTTGATGATCTGTGGTTGAATCAGTTGTTGGAAATTGAGGATTGTTTGGGATGAGTAATTTTTTGATTGGGAGATGGTGCTTTCGTGTTGAACGCATTTCCAGACTCCAAAACCCACCCACCCTTCGTAGACTTTTTATTTTTTATTTTTTTAATTAGACTCAATGTAAAATATTTATATCAAAAATATTTTACTCATTTTTTTTGTTATTTTTTTAATCAAATTTTTCATTATTTAGTTGAACAAAAAATAAATAAAATATTTTTTACGAAAAATATTTTTACATTATTTTTTTAAAAATAATTTATCTTTAAAAATTTCTTAAAATTATTTTTGTAAAGTTAACCCTCACTCATTACATTTTCAACACATTTAACATTTTAAAATAAGTATCTTAATTTACTAAAAATCAAAAATAACACTTTATTGAATTAAAAAAAAAAAGGGCAATAACATGTGTTTTTGTTTTAAGTATGAGCTAAATATCGAAAAATTCAAACAATTTTTTTTTTTTGGAATGTGTGTAAAATCTTTTACGTTAAAACAAATGGAGCATAAATAAAAATTTAATTTAATATGAATTATACTTTTAAAATTTGATATAACCTATTCCAATTTTTTCGTTGAATTTTTATTTAAGTATTTTTAAAAAATCTTTTATTCTAAATTTTTCTCAAATTTGATAATAATAAAAATCTCTTTGTCTTCTTAAATTTTTAGTAAATTCTATATTTTGTGAATTGTCTTGCTTGATTGGTTTGGCAACAATCTAAATAGATAGTTTATTTATTTATTTGCTCTTTTGACAACATCTAAAAAAAAAATTACTTTTATTTTTTCATTTTTACTAAGTTTTTTTTTTAAAAAATGTTTTTTTTTTCCCATATTGTTGAGATGATTCTAAACGGTATACTTTTTAAAAATAAAAAATAAAAAAACTCTTAAAAGAAAAACTAAAATAAGCCCAATTTTTTTAAAAAAAATTTAGGTTCCTTTTGGTGGAGTTTTCAAAATATAATTTCACACTCACTTTTGAGTGTGGTGTTTGTTTAGCGTTTTCAAAAATTAATTTCACACACATTTTTGAAAACTCTTTGCAAGGCGGAAAAATTTGGACTAATCGGTTGTCCGGCTAGTTGACCGGAACAATATATTTTTTTTGTACCTGTTACTTTTATATTATAAAAAAAAATATTTGCGAAATTTTTTAAAAATTTTAGAATTTTGGGCTGTGTGCTTTGTTATGAGTTGTAAATTCTTGTATCAAATATTATGTCACATCACCAATTCAAACTCTTTTCAAAACTCATAACCAAACAAATTTTCTACACTCAAATTATAATTCTAAAACTCATAAATTTAAAATACAACTCTATTCTCAAATCATAATTTTAAAACTCTACCAAACACTACCTTAATAATTTTACAGTTTGTATTGTCGAACTGAATCTATAAGCTTAAAGCTTTTTGATTTTTTTTTTTAAATTTACTAAAGATGAAAATAAGTAATAAATAAATTGCAAACCCTAAATCATTTGTTTGTTACAAGTTATCAAATTATTTTTTTTTATCTTTTACATATTCTTTTATAAGCAAACCCCAAGTCATCCCCGAGTGAGGCTAGGTCATGCGTCCATAAACTACTTGTGTGGATGGAAGAAGTGGTAGATTTTCTGTCAGAATTTGCATTTAGGGTGGCTGCTGTTTCTTCTTGTTCAATTTTAGCTTCCACCATCTTAAAAAAAAAAAACAAAAAAAAAAACACTTTAGTGAATATTTACTATAAATTGAAAATAATTTCTAAATAAATTTATATGAAATTTAAATTCAATAAAAAAAATAAAAGATTGAAAATGCTATTAGAAGAGTAGGTGAATACATGTCATGAGTGGAATATAGTCTCCCTAATTATTTGAATAATTGTAAGATCTTTAATTAATTTTGTGACATAATATTAATTTTATATTTGGATCTCGTTTGAAGTGATGTTGTTTGGTTTAAAAAGTTAAAAGGTCAAAATACTCAATTTTATCGTTATTTTTATATTTTTATATATTCTTTTATAAAAAAAATTAAAATAGTTATTTTTTAAATGAACTCTTAATAATTATTGAAGCATGATGGAGAAATAAATTAATGCATATCAAAATGTAATTATGGAAATAGAGTAATGGGAATAATGGTGGTGTGAGGAAGGAAAGGGGTTTGGAATCACAGCTGTGCAAACTCCACGGCGGTGAATGTTATGTGGTTTATGAAAATTATTTCAGTTTTTATTTTCATCATTTAAATTATTTAATTTTTAAAAAATATTAAATAGAATATATTTGTAAAAAATTAAGTTAATTGGGTATTGATAGACCCTTCATCAACTGAAATTTGTATTAAGTTTAATACTTATAATTGTACGGGAAAGAAATAAACATTCTCATATAATCCTGATGACCAAGTATGCGCTCCTCCGTATGACGTCGCCTAATCACCTGAAAACACAAACGTGAGCTAGCCGGCGGGTGTGTGCCGGAAACCTCTCCGATGCCTAAGTCGGCAAACTTGACAAATAGACAAAGCCCTGTGAATTCAGAAAGCAAAGTTGTGTGTTACCTCCCCAAAGGTGAACAACAGTCACTGTCGTACATGATGCATATCAATGACCTTGCTTCGGGGAAAAGCCCATGCTCTATCAAAAATGGACTTGTTTGATCGGACGAATTACAATATAAGATTGAGATTGTTAAGTTACGAGATTCACATGCTATTATTTTGTTGTAAATTTTGTTATTTGAATTAGATTTTAATGGTCATTTTATTCAACAAAATTGACAATTTTTTAAATCTTACAACTAATAACTCAAAACATATATATAACTAGAATTATATATTTCCATATCTATTACAAAATAAATGTATATATGAGAGAATTATATATCTCACTAATCGAACTGAATAACTAATCTTAAACTAATGAATAATGTTAGAGATCTCAAAATAAATATACCATTTTTGTAAACTAATTTCATATAGTTAATCACCTCACTTTTAATTTGGTAAATCAAACATGCCCAAATGGTATTAGTCCAGAGGAACTCGCCGGCTTAGTAGAACGGGCTGAGATTCACACTTACTCTTTTTTCTTGTTAATCCATAAAGAAAAATGTTATAATCCCTAAATTTTTATTAAATGAATGATTTAATGGCTCAAATAAGTGTGAGGTCCATAAAATTATACACTTCAGACATTTAGTTATTTATTTAGTAGAAAATTTAGTATCCCTAATATTATCCATCTATATATATTTTCAATATTTTATGTTTAGATTGGATAATTGGGCTTCAAATTATAATATTAAGCTCAAAAAAATTTAGAAGTCAATAAATTATATAAAAAGTTAAAAAATAATAAATTATATAAAAAGTCGAATATTTGCTTTTTTATCTCTACTTTTTTTTTCCTCACTTTTTTTTCTCAAAAAATAAAATAAAATAAACCATCATAAACGTATTAATTTTTTATTTCATAATTTAACTAAAAAGTCAAATCAAACTTTAGTTCAACCCAATTCAACCAAGGTAAGTACTAGTTGAGAAAGGTCTGACAAGTCTCAAAAAATTTAAAAAGTCAAAAAGTTATACAAAAAATAAAAAAGTTATTACTATTCACAAATAAAAATATTAAGAACATATTTTTTATATTTTTGTAATACAAAAGTTTTCATTACAGTACTGCCGCAGCAGGAAGGCAAGTCATGCGCTTTTTGGGCAAAAAAAAAAAATTACATATGTAAAGCCACAAAGTTTGATAGTAATGTTGGGCCATTGAGGGCTCACTAAGGGTTCCGTTTTGATAATTCGAACCGTGCAATATGTAGAACTCATTGAGTACTATATGCTTGTAAAAAATCACTTTGATCGGATATCGTTAACTATATGATCAAATCAGTTTTGTATAAACAAAACTGATGGTGTGATAGGTAACTGTTGAAAAAAAAAAATACGATCATATAGCTATCGATATTCGATCAACATAATCTTTTAAAGGCATATAATACTCGACAAGTTGTAAATATTTAACAGTTCAGATTATTAAAATGGGACCCGTGGGGGCCCCATGGACCAACCATCACTGTCCAAACACTTTGTCCTCAATGAGGCGATAATTTGCTATGTAAGACATATTGCCCCCACCAGGGCAGCCGTACAACCTACTCAACTTTATTCCTTTATACACTTTATTTATACAACTTTTTATTACTCATTTTTTCGTAAAAAGACAAAAAGCTAACCCAAATATCCATATTTTTTTCCTCAATTTTTTAGTCTAAAAAAATAAAAAAGTATATTTATTTAGGACACCTTAAACAACCCCTAAGATTACGGGTCCTCAACCAAATAATTACCCTTAATTGAATTTGAAAATTTACAATCAATATTTTAAACTTTGTTGGGTTGTTTAACAATTCTGTCGGTTCTAAGTTAAAGGAGGAGGGGTTATATGTGAGGTAGCTAACAACCAATACGAAAAAAATTTGCTCGAATCCCTTATAAAATGAATCCTACTTTGAATTGAGTCAAGTGAAGAATAAGGATTCATATAACTAACTTCATTTAAAAAGACTTAAGACTTGGTTTGTTTTGCTTTGATTTAATTTCCAATCAACATTTAATTAAAAAATAAAAACAATTGTGTTTGGCTTGAGTTTTCTGAATTAAGTTTTTTAAAAATTGAATTTTTTGGTTTTCGTATTCTTTTATTTTTAGTGAATATTTTTTAAATTTTAAACATTTTTTTACTTTTTTAGATGTACCTTAGTTAGATGTATGTAAAAAGTAAAAAATTTGTGAAAAAATATTTTATAAAATTAATAAATACATAGAAATACAAAAAATGTACTGAATTCTTGTATTTTTTTTGTATTCTTGGTATTTAGTGAATTTTTAAAGGATTTTTTTTATAATTTTTTTACTTTTTAGGTGTATTTATGTTAGGTGTGTCTAAAAAGTAAAAAAAATTGTTTAAAATATTAAAAAAATTCAATAAAAACAAAAAAATACGAAAAATAAGAAAGTAGAATTTTTTAAAAAATATTTTCTGAAAAGAGAAAACAAGCAAGTTATAATGTTAGAGATACTAATAATTTATCA